TAAAATAAAAAAAAAAAAATAAAAAAAAATACACAGCAAAAATAATTATAATAATAAAAATAAATTTAAACAAAAGGAATAAATAAAAATAAAAATAAAACTGAAAAAAAGAATGGTTTGGATCACATGGTTTTACTTTTTATTAGTTTATTGTTAATTTTAATGGTCATGGTTTAAAAAAATTAAAATAATTAAGGATTTGTATAAAAAAAAAAAAATTAAATAAATAAAAAAAAAATTAGATTTTTAGAAAAAAAAAATTATTTATTACAATAACTTTATTTTAAAATCTATTTTGAAATCGTTGTGGAGGTCGTAGTACTGGTAGTTGTTGGAATACTACCATTGGTGGTATTTGCATTTGTATTTGCTAAAGTTTTTTTTATATCTATTTTTAAAGAGAATTTGGTTCCACATGTTGAGCAAGATGAAAAATGATTACAAAATATAGAAAGACAAACTGAACAAACAAAACCTATATCTACAATTTTTTTATGGCAAAAACAAGATGCTCTATAATCTACTGATTTTAAATTTGGATATGCCAATGATTTTCTTGATTGAGTATCTAATAAAAATGTTGTCTACAAAAAATAGAATTAATATTAATATATTTAAAAATGAATAATTATTAATAGATAGATGATAATAGTTACCAATAAGTATTGTGATAATAGTTCTTGCTTATGGGGCTTTAAATAAATTCCATTTGTTAAATGTGAGGCTTGTTGTAAAAATGTTGAGTCAGTTTGAGATAATATACATGAATCTACCGGTATTGATTGTTTTTGTGCTGAAAAAATACAATTCATTACAGAAATATATTGAGAAGAGACATCCGGTGAAATATTGAATACTAAAATTCTAGGTTTTAAATTTGGTGATTCTTTTCTTATTCTATTAATATCTATAGGTGATAAAAGTGTATTAGTATATTCAAAATAATAAATAGTTAATAATAATGATAATTACAACAAAGTGCCATTGATAAAGCAGCAGAAAAACTTGAATTTATAATATCTTGTTGATCATTGTTAACCTCTATATTGATTTTTTGTAATCGTTTTAAAATTTGGCTTTGTAAAGTTATATTTTGAATATTGTTTTCGGTTTGGGTTTCCTCTTGCTCTAATTGCTCGACAGTTTCAGGGAATATAAAAGAAGATTGTCCAATTTTAGATGAAATTAAAGCGATTTGATTCTCTTGATTTAGCATTAAATATGCATTAATGAATACCATAACATGCTCTAAAAATTTTGAAAACCCTATATAATTATTTTTTGATGTGTTTATTAATGGAGGTGATGATGTACCTGTATTGAAACTCCTATCCCCATTATCAATATCCATATTATTATTTAGCATTGAATTTTGTAATGATTTAATTCTATTACCCCATGAATATATATTACAATCTAAAACTATAACGAGTAAACTCGTATCGTCCTCATCATCTGATGAATATAAAAAAAAATTTAAAGTGTGTTAGTTTACATCAATTATTAAAATTTTTTATTTATGATCATATATCTTTTATAAACTATTGTATATTTGGTCAGCTTACTGAATGAAGTTTCATTATAATTTACATTCATGGTGTATGTTTTTAATTTTATTAAAAATGAAAAAAAAATTAAAAAATTTTTTATTTTATTTTTTTTTAAAATTAAAATTTTTTTCTTTTTTTTTTTTTTTTAAAATTTTATTAAAATTGAGAACCATGGTATATATATAGTAACAATAACACCCTTACTATCAAGATTAATAAAATTGTTATATTATGTCTAAAATATTTGGAATTGGAAATGATATTGTCAAAATATCCAGACTTCAATCATCATTTGAAAGGTATGAAATAAAATAAAATAAAACAAAACAAAAACAAAAAGTAAAGTATATTAACTATTTTTTTTTTTTATTTATATATATAGACATGGTGAAAAGTTTTTAAAGAGGGCTTTTAGTGATAAAGAAATTCAAACATTTCAATCATTATCCACTGAAGATAATAGTAGAAAGTGGGAGTATTTAGCTGGTAGATGGTCAGCAAAAGAATCAATTTATAAGGCTATTGGCGATCAAGAGCGTTCAAAGTTAAATTTTCAAAACATAGAAATATTCAATGAACCAAATGGTAAACCATATGTACACCTATTAGAACCAACCAAATCATATTTTAAAAATTTAGGTATCGATAAAATACATATTGCAATTTCTCATGATACAGATTATGCAATTGCAAATGTAATGTTAGAATCATTTAATAATAGTAATAATAATAGTAATGGCGATAATAAATAGCAATAGTCTAAATAGCTGTTATTAAAATAAATAAATTTTGTGCAATTTTCAATTATAAAATATATTTACTTAAAGCCAATCTTTTGTAATTTGGATCAATTCATCTAAAATTTCATATTGTTTGGGTTCTTGTCTATTATATCTTGTGTGTGTTCTTTGTGTGTGGTATATGTTTTTTGTAAATTTGTATATTGGGGTTAAATTAATATTTGTTTAATAATGTATACATTCTTTAAGAGATTAAACTTTAAAAAAAAAAAACTTTCTATTGTTAAATTATGTATTTCAAAATATTTAATCTTTAACTACAAATAATTTTAATTTTATTATTTATAATATATTTATATAATTTAATTTTTATTTTTTTTATTATTAACTACCACTTTTTTTATTTTTTTTATAATTTTTATTTTTTTAAAATTCTATTTTTTCTTTTCTTTTTTTTTTTATTTTTTTTATTAATATATTTTTAAAATAAATATAAATTATAATAATAATACAAAAATAATAATAATAATATTAATAAAAAAAAAGTACAAATAAAAAAATAATTTTTGTTTTTAAACATATATATAAATTAGAAAATGAATAATAATATTTTAATAAATATATATTTAATTCTTTTATTCATTGGGTGTGTTTATTGTGCCTCTTGTAAATCAAAATGTTATCAAATTGAAAAATCATGTCAAGATTACTCTGGAAATAGTTTAACCTGTGATCTATTTAGTTTAGATGGTTGCTTATCGAAATGTAATTAAAAAAAGAATAGGTTGGGTAAGGAAGATTCAAATAAAGAAATAAATAAGGAAATAAATAAATAAGGAAATAAATAAATAAAAAGCAAAAAAAAAAAAATGTAAATAAAAGAATTTTAGTTATATATTATAATTATTATTCTTTTTTTTTTTTTAATAATATTATTATAAAAGTGATAAACTTTTATTATTTTTATGAATTTTCTTTTGTGTGTTTTTTATTTTTTATGCTGTATTTGGATTATTATTATTGTCGTTAATCCTATAAAAGCTATATGTATATAGGGTACATTAGTATATTAAATAAAAGAAAATATTAAATATTTAAATTGAAATACATACAAATCTGATAATAAACCAGTACCAATATTTTTTATTGATGTTGCGCTATATTTTTGAAAGTTTGAGGGAATTTTGTTTATTGATTGACAAGGTTGATTGTTTTTATCTTGACCAGCCCAAGCAACCATTATTTTTAACTGACAACCATTACCAACGTCGCATTGCATATCATCATATTTGGACCCACACTGATTATCGATACAAGAATCACATGATTTACATACTTGGGGTAGTCTATCACCGTCCCAAATAGCATCAATAATATTACCTTTGTCTAGTTGAATAACAATAGCAAAGAAGTTTACAAAAGTTCGACTGTTAACATCAATAATATTCTTTGGTGGCAATGTAATTAATACGGTTTCAGTACTATTAGTTGTAACAGTTTCTTTAAAAGTTGTAGGTTCGGTACCATTTGCTAAAGTTGCACAACTTGTAATATTTAATCTTGTCCCATTTACTATACATGGAGAGTCCACAATCTTTGTTGTAAAAGTTGTAATTGTTTTGGGTGCTAATATTTCTGCCCATATTTGCCATCCTGGCCATTGGTTAACTCCATTTTGACCACCTGTAATAATTGTATTGTCTGAAGAACTACTTGAGTTTTTACTTAGCGAATTAAATATTAAATTTTGTGTATTTGGTACTCTAAATGTTGTAAACTCATCACTAGTTTTACAATAATATTTTAATATCTTTTTTTAAATTTTTTTTTTTTGTTATTTGTTTTTGGGAAATAATTGAGTTTACTTACACTCTTGGATGAATATCGGCATACCCTAAAAATTGGGAATCGTTTGATCTGATGCTTAAACGAATAAAGCTCCAATCATATCTACTGTATGATTTAAAGTTCTTTGAGGATGTTAAATTTGATAAATTTAAATTTGGTATAATTGTTGTGGAGTCAACTACTCCAAATTCTAATGATGGTCCATTAATAATTTGTGATTTAGCTAAACTTAAAATAATAAATATTAAAGTTATTATTTTCATTTTTTTTATTTATTTTTTTATAATTTTAAAACAAATATTATTTATATAACTTTATTAATAACTATATTTTTGTAATAATAAAAATATCTTTATACATTATCGATAACTAATAAAAAAAATAAATTACCTTTTATACTTGATTTGAAGGTTCTTTTTTTTTTTTGATATACCAAAAAATGAAAACGTGGTCATATAAAAATAATAAAAAAGACTTTAAGATTATCTAATTATATGGGTAATGTGGTAAAAAAATAAACTTTAAAAAAATTAAAATTTTATAAAAAAATTGAAAAAAAATTAAAAATAAACTGATTTAATAGATTGTGTGCAAAAAATGTTAATCGCTACAGATTATTTTATTTAATAGTTAATTAATTAACATGTTACATATAAAAATGTAACATAATATAAGATTTAAAATAAATATTAAACAAGGAATAAAATGCAAAAGGTAACATGAATCCACCAAAATAGCTATGTGGTGCTGAATATCAGCGCTCTCTAGAAACCTCCACTTTCATTGTGCATTTACACTTTTGTTGATATACTCTTTCCATTTCTCGACTCTGGAGTTCCTTCTGGCATTGCTTAATCGAACTTTTCTAGAACTTTTTGTTTGCAGCTTTTCTTTTTTCAACTTTTTTGTTTGCAGCTTTTCTTTTTACAACTTTTATGTTTGTTCCATTCTAAATTTTAAAAAATATATTAATAGATTATTAATATTATTGATTATCTATATTTAAAAAAATTATTATATTATTATTAAATACATACTTTTTATTGCTAGCAAAAATTTATTTGTTTCAACAATTTCTTATTGTCTAGTTGTCTAGTTGTATCGAGGTCCGATACAACTAGACAATTTGTTTAGAAAAAAAAAAAAGTGAATTATAAAATGGTGATTTTTAAAAAAAAAATTTTGAAAAAAAAATTAAAATTTTTTTTTTTTTTGATTTAGTGGTGTATATATTTTTTTTGATAACGTTTTAAAAATTTTATGATTACAATATATTTGAATTTTTTTTTTATTCGATTTAGACACAACCATTTTATTCCTTTTATATTTAATTTTATATATAGTTTTATATTTTGATTATTTTGATTATTTTGATTATTTGATATATTTATTTGATTTATATGAACCCCACTTTTACAATTTATCTTAATCTTTGGCAGTATTAGTAAATCTGTACCTTATTTTGTAATGCTAATGCTGTAGTCTGTATAGTTTGTTGATGATTTTGATTTCACAATAGAAACTTAACATATAAGTTTTTAAAGGTTACCTTGAAAATAAAAAATAATAATTTAATAGAAATAAAGTTTTTTTTTAATCTTCATCATTTTGATATACACTATATCTATCTGATGTTAAAACTATATTATCATCGTTTATTTTAGATTTTGTTGTTTTAAGACCATAAAAGTCGTCTACTTCATCTGAATCTTCATCTTCTTCATCATCGTTATTATATATACTAAAAGAATAGTTGTTTTTTTTATTATTATTATTAATGTTGTTATTATTATTATTACTATTATTATTACTAATACTATTACTATTACTATTACTATTACTATTACTATTACTATTACTATTGCTATTGCTATTGCTATTACTATTGCTATTGCTATTGCTATTGCTATTAATAGTACTATTGTTTATTTGAGGTGAGGGTTTGATGGAGCTAAAGGGTGTTTTATTAACAGTAATTGGTGGGGCCAAAGGTTTTGGTTGGTGTTTAAAGTTTAGAGATGCAGATGGTTTGACCATAGGGGATATTGATTCAGATGTTTTGGTTGTAGGGAATTGTTGTTGTTGGTGTTGTTGTTGTTGTTGTTTTTGCATATTTACATATGGATTTGGTTTTTTTTGGTATGGATTATTTTTAAAATTTGATTCTTTAATTTTTTTATTTGGTTCATATTCCTTATTGTTATCATCGTTATTATTGTTATTTGTAAGATTTTCATTATCGTTTTGATTATTATTACTCTTTGTATATTTTCTTTTTTTACCATTAATGACTATATTTTTATCATTTGAAAGTAAAACATATTTACTATCATCAGAGCTATCATTTGATTTTGTACCATAAAAATCATCTTCATCATTATTTTCATCTTCATCATTACTGTTATCTATAAAGTCATTCCAGTTTGTTCTTGGTTTAGTATTTTGTTTGAGTGATTGTGAATTATTATTATTATTATTATTATTATTATTATTATTATTATTATTATTATTATTATTATTATTATTATTATTATTATTGTCATGATCATCTTGAATTGATATAGGTTTGGGTTTATTATGTTTTTCCATATTATATTTTTTAACTAATTGAGTTAAATCTTTTGCTTGATAGCTTTGACCATATATTTTTTGATATGATTGTTTTTCGTTGCATATTTTACAATTGAATGCTTTTTTTTTATTTAGTTGATGAACTTGATACATTGAACAACTGTAACACTGTAATAATAAATATTCTACCATGGTTTTATATTTTATTAAGACCCTTTTTATATTCAAATAAATATAAAATTTTTTTTAATTTTTGAAAAAAGTTTTTATTAAAATTTTTTATTTTTTTTTATTTTTTATTTTTTTTTATTTTTTTTATTTTTTTTAATTGAAAAAAACCATTTTAAATAATGTAACCTTAATCAAGAAATATAGTGAAGTTTAAACCCAATATAGGTATTTGGGAATCTATCATTCCTACTTTCAGTCCAAACAATATCTTTTTTATTTATTATAATTAATAACCAACCATCTAGGGCAATTCCCAATGTTCAACACCAAAACTAGTATTAAAAAATAATCTCAAAAAGAAAATTTAAAACAGTTATCAAAAAAAGTAAATAATTAAATAAAAAATATTTTAAAAATATATAAAAAATTAAATTAATAAAAATTTAATTTTTAGAAAAAAAAGAGAAAAAAAGTTTTTTTTGAAATTATATTGTAATTCAAAATGGATGATATAAATAATAATAATAATAATAATAATAATAATAATAATAATAATAATAATAATAATAATAATAATAAAGATAGTAATGATAGATTGTTTTTTTTGGTATTTCGTAATAAATATTTAAGATCAAATATCAGCTACCATTTAAATCTATTCAAAGAAAATAGTGGTGTTATATTAGTAAAATCAATTTACGAATTTGTTAAATACCACCCATACAGGGAATATGTTGACGACCTAAAGTATTTCTCGAATCAGCCTTTGGAGTCTATGGGTGATATAAGTAGTATAAGATATTTGGATTTGTTTATTTATACAAGACCTATTTTTAAAGATACTTTACCAATGTATTTAATAAAATTAAAAATGGGAAAATATAATGTACCTTTAGAAACATGCATATTTCCAAATACTTTAAAGGAACTATTTCTAATAGATTTTAACCAGCCATTGGATGTTGTAGGTTCATTACCAGATTCTTTAGTTCAACTGGAATTGGGTTATAGTTTTAATAGTGATATCAAACCAAACGTTTTACCTCCATTACTTCAAGCTTTTACTGTTTTCGGACCATTTAATAAAGAGTTGATTGAAGGGGTATTACCACCTTCTTTGGAGTCATTAAGGTTGTTGCAATTTAACCAACCCATATCACCACATCAAATACCAGAGTCGTTGACATATCTAAATATTCCAGAGTTTAACCATAGTCTAAATCAAGGTGATCTGCCATCAGGAATACAACAAATTTGGTTCAATAGATTTGATCAATCAATTATTGCAGGGTCTCTACCTTCCAGCCTCACACTTCTTTCATTAGGTAATAGATTTAATAAACTATTATTCCCAAACTCTCTTCCCACCATATCTACACTAAAAATTGGAGAATCTTTTAACCAACCAATAGAGCCCGGTCAAATACCAGAGTCAGTAACTTCAATTGATTTAGGACAATCATTTCTACAAATGATTACCAAAAATGTATTTCCCTCTTCAATAAAATCAATTTTTTTTAAAAATTTAAAAATGAAAAAAATATTCAATACACCCAATAATTCATTTTCGAATGATGTTAAAATAAAATATGGTTTTTGTTTTTTTAAACTCAAATAAAAAAAATAAATAAAATAAATAAAAAAAATTAAAGAATCAAATAAAGTGGAATATGGTTATACAATTTTATTATTTATATATTATTTTTCTTCTTAAATAATTATTTACTTAATATTTGTATATTTTTATAAAATACATTACCAAATTAATAAATAATAATATAAAAATATTTATTTTTATGATTAAATAATAAAATTTTAAACTTTAAAAAAAAAAAAAAATTTGTAGATAAAAAATATAAATAATTTTATATTTATTTAGATTTCTAGATAAAAATATTATTCTATTTATTTTATTTGTTTATTTATTTATTTATTGAAAATTATTCTTTTTGTTAAAAGAATTGAATAGACTAACTGGTAAGCTCGTAAAAGAGGGTTTTCATTTTATACTAATTCAAACAATCTTTTACACGTATCAACTGTGGCTGGGTGTCAGGAGTGGCCGGAGTATCTCTTGTGGGCTACTTTCTTAAGCTTCTATATTTTTCATACCAATCACTGTGTCCAATAATCTCTTTTAATTTTTAACCCGATTGGAGGTAAGCTTGTGTTGCTTTAATGGCTCATCCATATAATCTCCACCTTTAATAAGTTGTTTTTTTTTTTAATAGTTTTTTTATTAATTATTATTATTTGTTTCTGTTATTTTGAAAATATAAAGAATGATTGGAAAAAAAAAAAAAAAAAAAAAAAAAAATTTTGAAAAAAAATTTTTTAAAAAAATTAAATTAAAACCCCACCACACACAATTTTTCATTTTTATAAAAAAATTAATTAAAAAATAGCTAGAACTGTTTAGTTATTCCCATAAAATATTTAGATTTCATTGCTGCATATAAAAATAATTTTAAAAAAATATTAATTAAGAAATATTAAGCTATCAGGAATTCAATAGCCTAGCAGATGCTCAGCTTTTTATTTTCTTCAATAAAAAACTTGTTCGGAGTTTTTTATTTTTGTTGTGTTATATATATTTGGTTTGTGTTTTCATTTGGTATACAAATATTTAAACTTTTCATAAGTTTTTATTTGTTTTTGTGTTATTGTGTTTTGGTTTGTGTTTTAAAAAACTTGTTGGGAGTTTTTTATTTGTATTGTGTATTCGTTTTACCTGATTTATCTTTCCGGTGATTATATTACAAATATTAACTTATATTAATAAATAAAAAATATATTTTATATTAATATATTCTATATTAATATATTAATATATTAATATATTTTTTTATTTATTTATATTTTTAATAATTTTATAAAAATAAATAAATTTTTTTTTTTTTTTAAAATTAATTTAAAATTTTTATTTTTATTTTATAGGATGGATTATAGTTTTATATATAAAAGTTTAAATGCTAACTGCTTTTGTTTTAAATATTAATTATTTAATGGGCTCTTTGGAATGTTTATGTGATGCTGGAATTTAAAGCTCCAAACCGTATGATATTTAATGCCAGTTTTTTCTATTAATTGCTAAAAACAAATTTTTGCCTTACCCCTCAGCATCGGTTTCCAAAAAA